TTTTTAAATAATATTAATATATTAAATTACGAATAATTAATAGGTTAATATTCGTTTTATAACTCGGACGAATTTTGTGACGTCGCTCAACGACGTGCTTAATTAAAAATCGATTATAAAATATTGCCCGATATTGACGATTTTATTATTAAAAAGGAAGCCGATTTAGATAAATAGTTAGAATAATAAGAATTTATAAGTTTTTAAAAAAAACTAGATTAGCTTATTAAAGATTTAAAAAACTATTTATATAACCGATATATTCTAAATATATAATTTAATATTAAAGCATTTAGAAATTATAAATTATTTTTTAAAGGGAGAGAACTTACTAACGAAGAAATAAACGATATTTATAATATTATTAACGTATTATATTTACTTATTAAAAGATAAAGGCGTCCCGATTTAATAATTAATTACGAACGGTTTATAAAAAAAGGATAAATATTAGCCCTTAAGATATTAAAAAACTAAATATATTAATCGTAAAAAAATAACGAAAAGCGGCTAAAATAAATAAGTTTTTATATTTTATAATACTTTTTAATAAGGAATATTTATAATTTAAATTTTAAATAAACGGATATAATATAAGCGCTATTATTAATAGCAGCGCTTAAGGAATTTTTATTTTATTAAGAACGGTAAATAAATATAAATTATTATAGGTATAGAAAATGAACTTGTATATTTTATAAACGGTAGAAGGAGAATAAGTTAATTATAATAACGGATATATTAATTAGGAGACTATATACCTTACGATATATATTAATAATTAATTAGAATAATTAAAATACGATATTATAAAGATCGGAGATACCGACGTTATTTTAAGAATCTCGTAGTTATGAAAATATAATTTACGAATAAATTAGAGAACTGGCTAACTTTATTAAATAGATTTAGTTATTAAACGATTTAATAAAAAGGGTTTAAACGAGTCTTACGTAATACCTAACGAATAAAAATAAATTAGATATATCGCTTTTATTAAAATAATAAAATTTATTAAAATATTCGTATTTAGTATAGACGATCGAAAATCGGACCTATTTTAAATTATACCCGAAAAGTACCGGATTTATACGAAACTATTTATTTTAAAAAAAGAAATAAGATTATTAAAATATAATAATTAAGATATAGAAATCGAATTAAAAGAAGGGATATAGCTTAAGTTTTACCTATTATATTTTATAAATTAATTTAAACGTAACGAACTTAATGAGTATATTAACGATAGATTTAAAAAAGGTTATATAAGATTATTATTTTTTTTAGTAAAAATATTAATCTTTTTTATATTTAAAAAAATAAAAAAGAAGTTTAGATTTATAATCGATTATAAAAAACTTAACGAGATTATTAAAAAGAATTACTATCTATTACTTTTTATTTTAAAACTTAAGGAAATATTATACGGAGCTTAATAGTTTACTATAATAGATTTTAAAAGAGTATTTAATTAGATTAAAATTAAAAAAAGAGACGAATAAAAAACGGTATTTTAAATATATAGAGGACTTTATAAATACTTAGTTATACTTTTTAAACTTATTAATATACCTACTATATTTTAAATAATAATTAATTATATACTTAAGGAGTACGTCGATATTTTTATAATCGTTTATTTTAATAATATCTTTATTTTCTTTTTTAATTTTAAAACGTATAAGAAATACGTTTATATAGTATTTTAAAAACTTTAAAATATAAAGCTTTTTGCTAAGTTTAATAAATACGAATTCTATATATAAAAAATAGATTTTTTTAGCTATATAATTACGTTAAGATAAATTTATATATAAGTATTTAAAATAACGGTAATTAAGGACTAACTTATATTTATTAATATTAAAAACGTATAATTATTTTTAAGATTCGTTAACTTTTATTAATAATTCTTTAAAAACTATATTAATATTATTAAACTTTTTAATAATCTAATAAAAAAAAATATAACTTTTATTTAAAATAAAAAATATAAAAAAACTTTTAATAAAGTTAAAGACTTAGTTATTTTGGAATTAATAATTATAATCCTTAACCTAAAGAAACTATTCAAAATTAAAATTAACGCCTTAGACTTCGCTATAGGAGTTATTTTAAAATAACAAGATTAATAAAAAGTACTTTATTTTTATATATTCTATTTTAGAGTATTTTATAAAATAGAATTAAATTAGTAAATTTATAATAAAAAATTAATAATTATAATTAAAGCTTTTAAAAAATAGAGATTATAACTTTTAAAAATTAAATACGAAATTATTATCTATATAGATTATAAAAACTTTACGAACTTTATAATAAATAAGAATTTAAATAAATGATAAATTAGATAGAGCGAATTCTTATTAAAGTTTAATTTTTAAATTATTTATTAAAAAGGTTTAAAAAACGGTAAAATAAACGCTTTTAATAAATAATTTAATTACGAAGTTACGGTCCTTAAGGAAATATAAGTAATTTTTAAATACGACGATAACGGTGATTTTATGTTTATTATAAAACTTTTTATAATAATTAGAAAAGTTAATATTAGCCCGTTTAGAAAAATAATTCTTAAGCTTATTATAGAAGTTTATAGTGCTTAAGTATACGGTTATTAAGGTGTTATAAAGATATAAAAACGGATTTATTAATATTATAATAAAACCGCTATAAGAGTAGAAGTCGCTAAGGCTATTAAAAACTACGATATTTATAAAAAAAATAAAAATAGTTTTTATAAGCTTTATAAAGAACTATAATTATTATTAATGCTTTTAAAGGCATAGTATTTAATTTTTTAAGACTTTATCGTTAAATTATTAAAGTCTAAGGAATTATTAATAAATATATAATACGATAGTATTTTGGTTATCGTCAACCGATTTACTAAATTTACCTATTTTATATTATATAAAGAAATAAGTAATATTAAAGAATTAATATATACCTTTTTTAAGATAATTATTATTAACTACGGTTTATTTAAAGAAATAGTTTTTGATAAAAGTAAGCTGTTTATCGTTAAGTTTTAAAGATTTTTAATCTCGTAGCTCGGTATAAATTATAAACGATTAATTTCTTTTTATTTATAAACTAATAAATAAACGGAAAAAATTAATTAGATTTTTAAAATATACTTCCGCTATTATATAAATTATAATTAAAATAATTAGGTAATACTATTATTAATAGCTTAATTTATATATAATAGCGTAGTTAGCGAAAGTACGAAAGAATCCCTTTTTTATTTTAATTATAGATTTTAATTAATTATATATAGAGAAGTACGTAAAGGATTATAAGCTGTAAAAGCCGTAATAGATATAAATAAACTTAAGAAGATTTAAAGGGAAGCCTCTTTAGACCTTGAGTTTATATAGTAATATATAAAAAAGTACGCCGATAGATTAAAGGTTAGTAAATCAATTTTAAAAAAAGGAGATAACGTATATTTTTTTCGTTATAATATTAAAATAAAACGACTAAATGATAAATTAGATTATAAAAAACTTAGACTTTTCGAAATTATTAAAACAGTTTTATTAGTTAATTTTAAATTAAAACTCTTAAATATAATACGATATTACTTAGTTTTTTATATTTTATTTTTAAAACTAGTATTTAAAAGCTTATATATTAGAGATCGTATTATTATCGAATTTAATAAATTAGAATACGAGGTTAAGCGAGTTATCGACTACCGAACTAAGGAAGATTAGGAAAAGTACTTTATTAAATAAAAGGACTATAGATATGAAGATAATATATAAGAACCTATTATAAACCTTTAAAATTCTTAATAGCTTTTTAAAGAGTACTAAAATTAAATTTAAATTTAGCACTCTTAGCTATTACGGCGTCCTAATCGATAATATTAAAAATATTATTAATTTACGCCTCCCGGGTTATTAAAGAAATATTCTTAGTATTTTTAAAAAATTCCTTTAATATAATACGACTTTTTTTAAATACTATTCGTTTTTAAAAACGAAGGCGTTTTAACTTAGATAACGACTTATTTAATTTAGTCTAAGCCTTTTAATAGGCCTTAGCCTTTTTTTATAATTTTATAATTTTTTTTTAAAACCGCGACTTTTTTATTTATTTTTTATAATTAAAACGATCGGATTTTATTATTAAACGATTTATTATATTTATTAATTAAAACTTATAGGAAATAGTCTTTAAGAAACTTATAAATATAGATAGTATTAATAAAAGTATCGTACGAAATACTTAAATAATAGTATATTTTATAAATATTAGAATTAAGAAAAACTAAGTAATAAATACCTTAAGAACGATAATTTAAATACGGTATTATTTATATATTTTTATTAGAAAAATAAATAATACGTAATAAATAGCGACGAAACGTAGCTATTTATAATTTCGATTTTTCGATTCGACTTAATATAACGTTAATATATTTTAATAAAAATATTTAACGATTCCTTAATTTAAGAATAAATAACTTATTTATAAGCTTAAAGATTAGATTTTTAAAAAGAGGAGTTAATATTACGATTTAATATATATTATTAAATTAAGGCCTTGTTTTAAAAGACTTACGGCGGCTATTATATTATATATATAATAATAAGAACTTAAACGACCCCTTTTAGGATAAAAAAATTATAAATAAGTTATATAATTACGATCGTACGATAAAATAAAAAATAAACGCCTATAAATAAATAAAACGAGCGATTATAAAAATATAGGACGGACGACCGTTTAATAAACGACCGGATAATAGTAAATAAAATATTATAAAAGATATATTTATAATTAAGATTTATATATAGGATAGCCTAAGCTAAGCTTGAGGATAGATTTCTATAGCTTTTTTAATAATTAATTTTTATATTAAATTTAACGATTACTTTTAGCTATTTTTATTAAAAACCTTATTAATAAGATTACGATTAATTATTAAAGCCTTCTTACTTAACGACTTATAGATAATAGCTTCTTTAAAGCTATTCTAAAGACGACTATTGTTTATAAGTATCGCAGCCCTGACTTCTGTTAATACAAACCTCACTACGACTAGCTGGCCGTAACACTTTATTTATAATAAAAACGTTTAAAAAAGCGTATATCTCTTTTTCGACAGCGTCGGGATAAAAAAGATTATATAAGTATAAATAGATTATAGTCTTAGCCGCCTTAATCTTTAATATTAAGCTCGTCTTATTAAGCTTATTACCGTTTTTAAAAAAAGTTTTAAATAAAATAATTAACTCTAGGTCTATCGCTAATCCGCTTAGGAATCGCTCTGTTATTACTTTTTCTATATATATAAGCGTAAAAAGTAGATAAAACTTGGGTCGGTTTTTTTTATTAAGAATATCGAATAGGTCGACCTTAATTAAGAATAAAAAAAGGCCTTTATTAGAGAGTATTTTTAAAAAACTATTATTTTTAAAAATAAGCTATTAAATTCTTAACTAGTCTTTACCGGCGTTATTAATAGTTAAGGTAGCTATAGCTATAAGTTAAAAGAACTACTATTTATTAGGATTTTTAAAACGGAGAATAGGGCGATCGCTGGCTTATAACTACTTTTATATATTAAACGAATAAATTATAAATAGCTTTGGAATTAACGCTTAAATAAACGATTTTATATAATATCGATTTAAAGCGAAGTATAAAAAGTAGATCGGAATATAAGTCGCTACTTTGAACGTAAATTAGTAAAATGTAAATCTTACCCTATATTCTACTTAACTTTAAGAACGAATATGTAGCGCTATCGTGGATACGGTAAGAGGCGTAAAGGGCTCCGCCGGATCCTAAGCTAGAAGTATTTCGTAACTTTAGTACGGAGTCTTCCTAGACTGCTATCCCGTCTCCGGAGGGACTCGACTTCACTATCGAAGGAGTCCACTCTAACATCCCTTTTCAGTACATACTGTACTGCAGGCCGTGGGTGATTATTTATTTACCGCAGAAATAGATCTCGCCGGCGAGAGGTTGATTTGAGGCTACTTTTGCCTCTGTGGTGTATTGTCAGGCGACAGCTTGGCAGCCAGTTAGAATGTGCATATTGGTCTATTACCTACTAAGCGAATGATATGATGTTGTTATTGACACATGGCTAACTTAAAACAAGAAACAGAACAAGGTTTCAAGGCCATAATGCCTATATCCCTTATTGTAATAGGGACTCGAGCATGGGTTGAATGCACGACTCGGATATGCAATGTCTAGGTCTGACATGTACCCACTCTTCGGAGACAATTTTTGGCTCTAAGCTAGAAGTAGATGCATCGTTGCCCGCAGGTTGTGGGTAATGCTCCACCCCCATGTTGGCCAGACTCGCCTCCGATGCTCCAGGAACGTGGAAGTTGGAAGTGCCGCTCGGTCGTCGTTCTAGATCTGTTGACGAAGTCTGGAAAATTCGTCCGATTACTGAGTATGAGAGCTCGTGCACAGATTCCGCAGACATTGTCGTGCGTCGAAGAGGCGACAATCCTTCTTCGCGGTTGGGGCGACAGGCGACCAATCTGTCTGTGATCTGTAGTATTTTGCGGCATCGATCGTAGCATGCCTAGTGTCTGTGCTTTCTCTGTGCAGGAGGTGATACTGTTCTGTCGGGCTCGTCGTCGTTGCTGTCGCGGGACGTTGCAAACTTTGTCGGGGGTGATAGGCGACCCATAACCTATCGGTAGCTGTTATGTTGATATATGTTTAGGCGCGGTCGTTATGCTTTGCGTGATAACCGGTAACCCGCCAGCGGAGGTAGCGATAGTGTTGTCTATTGATATGTCGTGCTTTGTAGCTTGCTCTCGGATTTTTTGTAGTCAGAGCCCGCTCGCGGCCACGAGCAGGCCCTTTAGATGTAGAATCAATGCCGAGGATAGCATTGTGCCCATAGTGACCTCTGCGAGCGCGAGCGGGCGTGATTCGATCAATTTGGTGCTGTTTTCAAAACTTTCGTTCTCGCTGTTGTTGATATTTGCCAACGTTAGGTCATGTGTACTAAAGCTCTCCAAGAAATCAGCGAAACTATGTATATCCGACACACGAGTCGGAAATTTCAACCGCGGGGCTATTTGGGCATTATTTCTGACACGTGTTCCATAGCTTGGGATACAGCGTCATCAGTTTGACCAAGGTTCGTATGGCTCTCAAACATGACGGTCCCCTGTGAGCCCAATTTCCTTCGGAGTTACTCGGTGTTGTATGCCTCATCGACCAGCTCTTGAACCGCGTTCTCGACCGTATCGCGCTGAAATTCCTGAGTCCAGTCTCACTGCTGATCGGGCTAATCAGAGACATAACATATGCCAGCTGATGTGGGGATGGAAACACGGCTTCAGAGGTGAATAAGTGCCAGATCGTCAACATGGACGATATGAGTGGTATACGTAAGTGAGTGCGGCCAATGTTGTTAATTAGGACGTAAAGTTACTACGATCTTAGTAAAGGTAGCTATACAGGGAGTAGAGACTTTCATCGTTAAATAAATATATTAATACGCTAAATATATCGGTATTCCGTTAACTAAGCACTGTACCTCGTGTTAAGGTAATATCGAAGGTATTAACAAACCCCTTTTTTAGCGGCGCATTATTTCTTTTTTATTTATTTTGTTATATCCTATATTTAAATGTAGCTTATTAAGTTTTTAATTTATTTTTTAAGCCGCTTACGGAACCTATAACCTTAATAATTATAAAGTCTTAAAAATATATTAATAAGGTTTAGCTTAAATACGGATCGAATAGGAAACTTATACTATAAATATTTTAACTTATAATTATAAAACCAGAGCCTAGATATGCTTTAATATATATTTTATACTAATAAACACTATAGACTAGCTATATATATAAAAAAATATTTTAGTATACCTACGTACGTAAGAACGTACGTAAGCAAAGCCGCTTATATAAAAATACGCTTAAGTATAGCCGCCTCTATAAAAATACGCTTAAATAGAGCCGCTTATATAAAAATACGCTTACGCAAAGCCGCCTATATAGAAATACGCTTAAGTAAAAACGTATATATAGAAATTTATATAAGAGAATCTGCGTACGTAGGAGTTTACTTAAGTAAGTTCGCTAAGGGAAAGTGCGAAAGGGGTCTAGGGTAATAGCGTGACCGGGATTATAAAAAGACCTATTTATTTCCTAATCGTTCTTAATAAGGCTTATTAATAACGCTTCTTAAAACTAATTTATTTACTTTATAAGAGCACTATAAGGCTAAGAGCACTATACTATATTTCGAAAACGTCCTCGTTTATCTATATAAAATATACTAAAATAATAAAATAACCTACGGCGAAACGAAATAAAAAACGATAAAAAAAATATTTTTATAAAAACAATATTAATAGTAATGATAAAGTCGTAACGTTTCGACGTACCGTTAGTCTAAGGCCCTTTTTTATCGCGATTTATAATCGGGTAGTTTACATAACCGTAAGAATATAAACTATAAATTTAATATATTTAAGTATTTAATATCTATAAAAGCTTTAAAAAAAAGCTTATAAGCTTAAAGAATTAAAAATATTATAAAGATTTATTTACGGTACGCAACGGTAAGTAAGCTAAAAATAAATTATAACTATTTTTAATATCCCTTATCTAAAATACGGCCCTAGGCACTGCTATAGGGTTATCCGGTATAAAACGGCTATTTTAAACTTAACGTTTAAAATATTAAATTAAAAGTAATAGTTTAAAAAGGGTAAATATAATAAAATTAGTTAGTTAAATAAAAAGCGATTTTATAATTAATCGCCGCCCCTATTCACGGCCGTTTATAAAAACTTTTAAAATAATCGTTTCTAAAGTTTATAAATATAACTACTAAGTTAAGCGATTTAAATTATAATAACGCTATTAAATCCCTAGAGAGATATTAATAATATTATATTTAGTAATAGGCTAATACTATTAGTACTCTTAATAATAGCGGTTAAACGGCCCTAGTTACTTATTTCTAAAGCTGGGGAGCTAGGAGACACTAACCCACGCTGGGCCGCTATTGCTTAGCTCTTAATAACAATAGCTAATATAGGCTACCTAGCCACTCTAAAGCCAAGATAGGCTATGTTAGACGTCGTATTTTAGCACGCCCGTCTGTGCACGCCCGTTCTAGCACGCTGGCTTCAGTACCTACTATACTTAAAGTTAATTTTAAGGCTAGTCGAAAGCACTTTAAAATACTTTATAGTAAAGTTATAAACTAAAATTACCCGTTTTTATTTACTAAAATTAAACTCAGTTAATAGAAAATAGTTATAAATAAATAATATTAAATAGCCTATACTTAGAGCTAGGCCCGGTATAAAATAATATATATTTTATTAAAATAGCCTCTTTTAGCTTTCCGAGCGCACGGGCTCTTTTTAATAGTGTGTATATTATTAGCTTTTATTAAAAAAAAATAAAGATCTAAATTAAATATTTTTAGAAATAGCTTATGCCGGAAATAAATAAATATTAAAGCGTTTTTGTTAAATCTTAAATTAAATATTTTAAAATAGATCTCTTAATTTATTATTTACCGCGCTATAACGATACTGTATTAGGCTTTTACTAAATATACTAATCGATAAGACTTTTATTAATATATTATAATCGGATTATTAATTAAATCTTACGCGGATTCAAAAACGATTTTAATTTATGTTTATATATTTAGTTCTTTTAAAGTACTCTTAGCCTATGTATTTAAATTATGCTTACTTGATAATCTTAATTTTTATTATATTATGTACCTAAAAGGGGCGACTAGGCTTAGGTTACGGCGTCGAAATTGATTATAAAAAAGCGAAAAGTGCTCTACGATTTCCTTAAATTAAAAAAGGATTTATCGAGGGCTTATAATAACTACGCTAGCTAAAAGACTTATCGTTATTAGCCTTTTAGACGCTAGCGGTAAAATTAAGTATATACGAGGTCCGAATTTACGCTATTAAACGGAGGAGTAAAGTATTATTATTTGCGTCGTAATTAATTTGAAAATACTATCTAGGCGTTAATAAAAGCACGGCGTATAATTATCAACTAATCGTAGGTCGACTCGCTTAACTCGCTTATTTAACCCTTTTTTAATCGCGAAAAAGTAGGTCGCGCTAAGGAAATAGTCGCGTATATAATATTTAGCCCTACTCCGGGGCCTATTAAACTATAATAAATATAACGAATTATAATATTAATAGCCTTAGGCTTTTAAAGCCCTAGATAGAGGCTGCCAGGCTTATTAGCTATCGATATAAAGCGGCCGCCGTTATTAAAATTTAAGTTTTTTAAATCGGCCTAGGCGAGATTTTAAGTATTTTTTAATAGGCGCTTCTTTTAAAATAAAAGAAAATTAATACCCTCTTATATTATATAAGATAAGAATATAAAATATAAATAAATTACTTATTTTACGAATTCTTAATAAATATCGAGGGATAATAATAAAGAAAAGCTAGGTGTTTAATTACTACCGTACGTAGTATATTAATTTACGTAACCTTTTAACTAATTAATTATAGTTTATAATAAGGTTAAATTTAGAATTTCGTATTTTATATTTTCCTTTACTTTTTAAACGATTTAGTAATATATTCCCTTATTTATATAGCTCTATATATTAAAATGCGCGTAAATAAATAGGTTTATTTATATAAAAATCTATTTTAACTACTTTTACCTCTTCCCTCCCCCTTATAAAATAAAAAAAAAACGCTTTCTCTTTATACCCGGCTTTCTACTTTTAAACTTTATATTTATTAAGCCTTTACCCCTCGCCCGCTTTTTTATATTATTATACTTTCTTATGTAATAATTATATAAATTATTCGATCGTTTTAACGAGTCCGTATATAAAGCGGTTATTAAGTCGGCCCCGGCAGCTCTAAACCGGCTTCCTTAGCCTTTTATCGCGGGCTTAAGTATATCGCTATCGGAGGAGGAAGCCTTATAAAAATAAGAATTATAATTATTATTAATAATTAAAGCTTCGCTTTTATTTATTACATTTAATTGATATAACGTAAGTTATATTCGCTAAGTTTAATACTATCGTTATCTATTATAATCGCCTACGCCTTTTATAATTTTATAACTTTCCGTAACATAGCTTACTAAGCAAAAGCTATTATTACTATAGGGCCTTAAACTTAGATTATATTATAATATTTTCTTGCACGATAGCTTTAAGAGGTAGAGGGTAAATATATTCTTATAAAGAGATAAGAATATATAATATTCATATAGAAGCAAGAATATATAAATAAAGGGGTAGTATTGCGTAAATAACTGAAGGCTTTATGAGTTAAAGAGAGTAATATAGTTGAATTACTATATGAGGAGTTGCTTGCTTAAAGAAAGGTCTAAGTAGGTAAAACTACGCCTTTATATAGACATAAAAACCT